GACTTGTCCTAACTAGAATGAGATTTTGTCTTGGTATGTACTTATGTGAAAATTTCTTGTTGAGCCTTGTTCTTTTCTGGTGAGTCTAGCCGAGGTCACCTTAAAGTCAGAACCACCTTGAAACCACTTTGGTTGACCTCTACCTTCGTCCTGGCATATTGGCCGAGATGTCATCTTCTAGGCCGAGGTGTATCATCAAGGCCGAGAGGTGTACCATCTGGGTCGAGATGTTAACCTTGAACCCAAGTGATCTTGTTCCGGATTGGTGCGACCTAGACCGAGGTGTGACACATCTAGGCCGAGGTGTGGCACAGCTAGGCCGAGTGTCATCCGTCCTAGCCGGGATCATTGATACCTCACCTACCGGAGCCGATGTTTTCACCCGATGTCAGTGCCTTGTCAGAATGCCATGCCACTTTACTTGTTAAACACCCTTTTGCCATACTCTGTCTGGCCTGTCAGCCACCTTTTCGGGGAGAACCAACCAGCCGTTGTCACGTGTCCGAGCTGAGTGTTAAATCAGCCGGCAGTGAGTAGAACCTATCATTTTGTATCATATCTTTGCCTTGAGAGAGAAAAGCTCTAGAAGGATTTTTAGAGTGAAGAAGTGGATCTTCGAGCTTGATTCTTAGAGATCTAACCGTTAGATTCGTGTATTAAGGACTTGGACTTGCCTTGACCCCAACGTCTGAAGAGCCAAGTGAGTGGTATTTTTAATAAAGTTATGTTACTAAGTTTTGATAAAAGTTTTTCCTTGACTGTTGGAAAAGTATTTTTGTGAAGCACGAATGATGATCCCTATTTTGTATATCAAGTATTAGCCTTGTTTTGAATGACAATCTCGAAAGTCCGTACGTGCTAGGGGACTATAAGCATTTGTAGCACAATCTTGAAAGTCCGTACGTGCTAGGGGACTATAAGCGTTTGTAGCACAATCTTGAAAGTCCGTACGTGCTAGGGGACTATAAGCATTTGTAGCACAACCTTTGTTAATGTTATCCCTTGGAACTTGAAAGCCTTGAAAGACTTTAATTGTCGAGACTTGAAGGATTTGTTAGATAAACTTGATCTGCTCTTGGATTTTGTACAAGATGTGTTATGCTTTGATTTGATAAGAATTTCGGATATCATTCATGTAAACCCCTTTATTATCTGTACCATTCACTGAGTATCCAAGCTCACCCCTCTATATATATATGTAGGTGACGAGCAGGACGGCGGTGACGTCTAGATGTACTTGCCACTTGTTTTGGACTTTGCACTTTTGCCGCATCTTGAAGATTATGCTTCTTAGTTGTATTTCATTGTACTTTTGTATTTGATGGCTGAGAAGTCTTTTGGTCAAGATGTATTTTGTACTTCATTGTTGTATTAAAGCTATGTAAAGATGTATGCCATTCCATTTAAACTTATGCACTGCTCTCATGGACTACTTAGCTTGAAATTTATTGCTTCCGTATTTGTAAGCCCCATATGTATACTCTGATTGTGTGTGAATCTTGAAAGCTGGCCTTCGGTAGTCACGAATTACTGGCCATCACAGCACCATTTTACTAAGGGCGGAATGGGGTCATGACAATCTTAGAGGCAGATTTGCGAGTAACTCGATGTACACCACATTCAAAAGAATTTGTGGGGGAAAATATCATCTTAAGGAAAGCGACATTATAACGCGCCTTGAAGAAATCTTATTATTCTCTAATTTTATCCTCTTCTATCACATTTACCAATTTTGTACTAACAATCTTAAGACAATATTTTCAAGAGATGGAAGATTCAATTCCAATTTGGTGATTTTCTTTTGAGGTATTAAATCGTTGGCAATAAAATAATTCAGGTATGATAATTATCTTTTAGAGTTATTTGAATGCAAGTCTTGATATTAGTTGGTAAAATTTGCACTTTGTTTTGGGTCTGTCAAGAAGAATTGGATGGTTTTGTCACACATAAATATATGCATATTTACGGGTATGCATTTTCATATGAGTGGATTTATATTCTATCTTTTCTGCATTGACGCAAACTGGAATTTACATGATAGCATTCATGATTAAGTAAAATGTTTGGGTCACAATAAATATATATAGATTTCATTGCATCTAAAATTTTCGGATCTTATATGTTTTTATGTTATTAGCATTAGCACTAATATATATCATTAGTTGCATGAAAGGAAGTTTTGATTCTAATTTTTAAATTTGGACTATTGAAATTAAATCTATGCAAAGGAAATTGTCTTGTTTTGGAATTAGACAAGATGTTTGAATGAACTTTTCTAGTTGTATATGTTTTTGGGTGTGAACATGATTACTTTTGTTTGAATTTTATAACTGTTAGGCCCCGTTTGTTTTCGAAGGTAGAATAGAGGGGATTGATAGTGAGCGGATTAATAGTGAGAGAATTAAGTAAAACTGTGTTTGTTTCGATAATAGTTGTTAGTGTGGGATTATTAAATTATTATCCTATAAAAGAAATATAAAATATTAAAACAAATAAAATTATGATTTTTCCTTAATAAAAAATACAAAAATATTAAACATTAATGTTAAAAAAAAATGCCCAAATGTTAAAAAAATAAAAATAAAAATAAAAATAAAAAAACCTGAGCCAGAAAACTAATTTCCTAATACCACTACCACCTCCTCTATCTCAATCCCAACACCAAGACCCATCCTTATCCCATAGAATTATCAATCCCATCTCCATCTCCCAAAACAAACACAACATATAGTAAGTTTTACATCTATCTCTATCTCCCAAAACAAACGGGATCTTAGTTCTTTCAGTTATGTAATCTTGTTAATGCTTCTATTATTATCTACACCCACTTGTTCTTGATGTTCATACATCTAAATATTTTTGGATCATGAGATCTACGTTTGACCTAGGGAATGTGTCACAATCTAGTAATTGGCCAAAGAGGCTGAGTATCTCTTGATGAACATTACTCGGTGTATCAAAAACGTTTTGTAGAATTTTTAATTTTATTTGGTCACTGTTACTATGACTCTTGAATCTAATGAAAGAGTTTGCTTTCCGGCAATACTTTTTGACAAAACAAAGTCTCTGTTCAAATTTGGACTGATTTGAGTTTTCTGATAAAGGAAGTTTGTTTGGGTCTTACGGCATAGCCATTGTACTTGAAGTAGAAAATGATGAGGTTATGCTGGTTCACCAAATGGCCAGTGGATTTGGGCTAAAATCTTGCTTTTGATTTGTTTATAATAAGGGCTTAACGATTTGAATAACGTATTATAGTATAATACTTCAGATTTATGGGTACATACAAATGATTAAATTTATTCTTTTATATTAGTTTGTCATTTGAATGCAATTGGGAGCCAAATCATTATTTACATATAATATCTATCATATGGTACATTGTTTTGCATTTCAAGTATTTTCTGATTTGGCACGACTTATTAATTCAGAATGATATTATTTGTCAAATTGATATTGACTTCGTATTTTCGTACATTGCATTTGTATACTGATACTAAGATAATATTTTCATCTTTTATGAAAAAATGTTCTTGGAAATTCAATTGATATGCTTCAATATTTCATTTAAAATCCTTGTTTTGGATTTAAGAAAAGAAACACAAGAGTTGGAATATTTTTTGTGAAAGTTTCAAGAACGTATTTTAAAATCAAGGTTTCATTTTTTGTTTGGGAGTTCTTGATGCTTGAGAAAACATGGAATATGTATTATATACTTGGTAAATTTTCTTATTGTAATTAAATTAGAACATTTAATTTATGTAACTTGTATTAATAAAATTTCACATTGGTTAGTCAGTTTATGACTCAAACACAAGTCATGAAACTTACGATATGAGAAAGTGTTAGTTTTTCATATCTTAAGTATTTGATTGTTTAAATCTCACAATTTAATTTCTCAACATTATTGAGAATGATTAGTTTATATGTTAAAGTGGGATACAAAGGTGCCTATTTGAACAATTAGCATGAAAACTATAGTAAATAAAATTACTCTTGGTTGGGGGTTTATCTCTTAGAATTGAAGAGAATTTTTGTCTTTTGTAACAAAAGAAATGGACTAGCATGATATTTTTATCACAGGTTTTTCTTGAATTTTCAATATAACTCATCATTAGTATGAGTTGATATTTATGACAGTAATTGCTAGTCCGAACATGTTGATCATGTCATAAATTATGGTAACACATACTATGTAAGAATATTGTTTATGTGACTCTGAATTATGTAGAAATTTTTACAAGTGATTTGATGTAACATCATCAAAAGGGATAGGTATTAAGCTCACGTAACTTAATCACTCATAGTGGAAACTCGACTCAACGCTTGAAAAAGCATCAAGTCCATGAGTTCAATGAGCCCAAGTACACCATATGTTGTGATTGCAACCATTTAAATTTGTATTTTTATAATCATTTCAAGGTAAAGTGCTTGGGACCTGTAATGTAAACTGAAAAGGTTGAGCTACTTAGTTCTTAATAAGTTTACAATGGCGTTAGTTAAGGTACTATAGTTATAGGGGTACTTTCAGTAAACTTACCTATATAAGAGTTTACTGAAAGTACCCTTGTAACTATAGTACCCTAACTCATCATTATAAAATTATTAAGAGCTAAGTAGCTCAACTTCCTCTTTTGCATTACAAGTCCTAAACACTTTACCTTGGGATGATTATAAAAATAAAAATTTAAGTGCTTGTAATCAAGACATATGGTGTATTTGGACTCATTGAACTCAAGGACTTGATGTTTCTTCAAGTATTGAGTTGAATTTTCACCAAGAGTAATTATGTTACTTGGGTTTAAGACCCATCCCCCTTGATGTTTTTCACATCAAATCCCATGCAAGTATTTTTTAGATAATTCACACACTACAAAAAATTTGACTTTTTGCGACGGCAAAACGCCGTCACAAATTCTCAAAATGCCGTCTCAAAAGCTTTTTTGCGACGGCAGGTGACTTTTAGCGACGGCAAGTGGGAGGTCGCAACAAAGGGCGTTACTAAAAGGTTTTAGCGAGGCACAATGCCGTCACTTTTTTTTTTGCGACGGCAAAGTTGTCTTTTTGTGACGGAATTCAAAAACAAAAGTTTCTCTCATGATTCTTCCGTGGGTAACAAAAGCAAAAGTTAATCGCAATCTTCACACGCCTACATTCCACAAGCAAACTGCTACTCGGGAAATATCTGAAAACAAAAAATAAAAATAATTAATGACAATATAATTATGTGTTAATATTTTAATTACAAAAAAGCATAAAAAATTAACTACTATATAATTACAAAGATAATAAAGTAAATAATTTTGGCTAGACGAAAATCCGGCTCTAACTCACAAACTAGGAACCCGATTGGAGTCCCGTCTTCTCCCACAAGTCTCTCGTGCCTAAGCGGTCGTGTGTGCCAAGTTTTGTGCTAAACCGACACCGTTTGGTATTTTGGGACATCAACACCTCGAATTCAAGTTTCTTAAGGAATTAGTTTGCTTAGAGTGAAATCCGACTCTAACTTCCAAATCGAGACCCAATTGGAGCCCTGTCTTCTTCCACAAGTCTCTCGTGCCTAGGCGGTCGTGTATGCCAAGTTTCGTGCTAAATCGACGCCGTTTGGAAATTTTGGGGCGTCAACACCTCCAATTCAACATTCAAAATGAACTACTTTGCCTAGACTGAAATTCGGCTCTAACTCCCAAACCAGGAACTCGATTGGAGTCCCATCTTCTTCCACAAGTCTCTCGTGCCTAGGTGGTCGTGTGTGCCAAGGTTCGTGCTAATCCGACGCCATTTGCAGATTTTGGGGCGTCAACACCTCTAATTCAAATTTCTGAATGAACTAATTTGCCTAGAGTGAAATCCGGCTCTAACTCCCAAACCGAGAACCCAATTGGCGTCCCGTCTTCTCCCACAAGTCTCTCGTGCCTAGGCAGTCGTGTGTGCCAGGTTTCGTGCTAAACCGACACAATTTGGTGATTTTGGGACGTCAACACCTCGAATTGAAGTTTCTTAAAGAACTAGTTTGCCTAGAGTGAAATCCGGCTCTAACTCCCAAACCGGGAACCCGATTTGAGTCTCGTCATCTCCCACAAGTCTCTCGTGCCTAGGCGGTCGTCTGTGTCAAGTTTCGTGCTAATCCGACGCCGTTTGGAGATTTTGGGGCATCAACACCTCCAATTCAAATTTCTTAATGAACTAGTTTGTCTACACCGAAATTCGGCTCTAACTCCCTCACCGGGAACCCGATTGGAGTCCTGTCTTCTCCCACAAGTCTCTCGTGCCTAGGCGGTCGTGTATGCCAAGTTTCTTGCTAAACCGACGCCGTTTGGTGATTTTGGAATGTCAACACCTCCAATTCAAATTTCTTAATGAACTAGTTTGCCTAGACCGAAATACGGCTCTAACTCCCAAACCGGGAACCCGACTGGATTCTTGTCTTCTCCCACAAGTCTCTCGTGCTTAGGCGGTCATGTGTGCCAAGTTTCGTGCTAATCCGACGCCGTTTGGAGATTTTGGGACGTCAACACCTCAAATTCAAATTTCTTAATGAACTAGTTTGTCTACAATGAAATCCGGCTCTAACTCTCAAACCGGGAACCCGATTAGAGAACCGTCTTCTCCCACAAGTCTCTCGTACCTAGGTGGACGTGTATGCCAAGTTTCATGCTAAACCGACGCCGTTTAGTGATTTTGGGGCATCAACACCTCCAACTCAAATTTAGTAATGAACTAGTTTGACTAGACCGAAATTCGGTTTTAACTCCCAAACCAGGAACCCGATTGGAGTCCCGTTTTCTCCCATAAGTCTTTCGTGCCTAGGCGGTCGTGTGTGCCAAGTTTCTTGCTAAACCGACGTTGTTTGGTGATTTTGGAGTGTCAACACCTCCAATTCAAGTTTCTTAAGGAACTAGTTTGCCTAAAGTGAAATCCGGCTCTAACTCCCAAACCAGCAACCCGATTGGAGTCTCGTCTTTTCCCACAAGTCTCTCGTGCCTAGGCGGTCGTGTGTGCCAAGTTTTGTGCTAAACCGATGTCGTTTGGTGATTTTGGGGCGTCAACACCTCTAATTCAAATTTCTTAATGAACTAGTTTGCCTAGACCGAAATTCGGCTCTAACTCCCAAACTGGGAACCTGATTGGAGTCCCGTCTTCTCTCACAAGTCTCTCGTGCCTAGGCGGTCGTGTGTGCTAAGTTTCGTGATAAACCAAAGCCGTTTGGTGATTTTGGGGTGTCAACACCTCCAATTCACGTTTCTTAAGAAACTAGTTTGCCTAGAGTGAAATCTGGCTCTAACTCCAAAACCAGGAACCCGATTAGAGTCCTGTCTTCTCCCATAAGTCTTTCGTGCCTAGGCGGTTGTGTGTACCAAGTTTCATGCTAAATCGAAGCTGTTTGGTGATTTTGGGGCGTCAACACCTCCAATTCAAATTTCTTAAGCAACTAGTTTACTAGACCGAAATCCGGCTCTAACTCCCAAACTGGGAACCCAATTCGAGCTCTGTCTTCTCCTACAAGTCTTTCATGCCTAGGCGGTCGTGTGTGCCAAGTTTCTTGCTAAACCAACGCCGTTTGGTGATTTTGGGGTATCAACACCTCCAATTCAAATTTTTTAAGGAACTAGTTTGCTTAGACCGAAATTCGGCTCTAACTCCCAAACTGGGAACCCGATTGGACTCCCGTCTTCTCCCATAAGTCTCTCGTGCCTAGGCAGTCGTGTGTGCCAAGTTTCGTGCTAAACCTACACTGAAGTCGTTTGGTGATTTTGGAGCGTCAACACCTCCAATTCAAATTTCTTAAGGAACTAGTTTGCCTACACCGAAATTCGGCTCTAACTCCCAAACCGGGAACCCGATTGGAGACCCGTCTTCTCCCATAAGTCTCTCGTGCCTAGGCAGTCGTGTGTGCCAAGTTTCGTGCTAAACCTACACTGTTTGGAGATTTTGGGGCGTCAACACCTCCAATTTAAATTTCTTAATGAACTAGTTTGCCTAGATCAAAGTTGGGCACTAACTCCTTGACCGGAACCCGATTGGAGTCTCGTCTTCTCCTACAAGTCTCTCGTGCCTAGGCGGTCGTGTGTGCCAAGTTTCATGCTAAACCGACGCCGTTTGGTAATTTTGAGGCGTCAACACCTGGAATATAATTGAACTTTAATATAATTGAACTTTTTTAAGCAACATGTAATAAATCCCCATCACAGAGACCTTTAATATAATTGAACTTTTATAAGCCATAAACCAAAATGGAAAAAAGGAATAAGTTTAGTACAAGTGGGAAGCCCCACGTTGCAGCCATTAGAAATCCTTGCATCAAATCAACTATTATGGTTCTTATTTCTACCAAAGCATAACTTCAAACTAACACAAGAAAAATCACACCTGCAAAAATGTTAGGTGTCTTCACATTTTTCTAGCAACAAAGACATAAATGGATGTTTACTTTTCCAACAACAGGAAAACTGTGACAATATTAGTGTCATTTTTGAAGAACATTTTGGGAGAATGAAGCACTACCTTTTCATTGTAAATGCAGAGTCGTTCCTTTACTACAGCTTCAGTATCATTAGACCGAGTGATGAGCTTCGAAACACATTGTGGGGGAGAACGAAGTGGAGCCATGTTAATTCCAGGACTCCCATTCTCACATTTGACATTAATGGAGGCTACATTGAAATTTTTCCTGCACTCACTGCAAATCCTTCGCCCCAGGCATTTCTCAATTAGTACACTTTCTGGGAGCTTTAGATTAACCACCAAGTCAATATCTATCACCTCATCCAAGATTTCCTGAAAAGATAGATGAAACAGGATATACCTAAGAATCAGAAAAGAAAATATCAGAGAGAGAGAGAAAAAAAAAATAATGTGTGATTGGTCCACTAACCCTAACATAGTTGCAGTGCACTTTATCAATCTCAAAACAATGTTCAAAAAGTAATTACAAAAAAGCTTTATCTTTGCAGTGCTGCCATTGGAAAGGAAAGAAAGAGGACCTTCTTAGGGTACAGAGTTAGAAGCTGATGCAACAGAAAAAATAAACTTTTCTATTATGGTTTCTTAGCAACCATAAAATTTTCCTCTTTGGTACATCCCCCAAATTACGAAAAGCTCAGCGTTTAGGGATGGCAATGGATAACCTACTCTGTTGTAGGTATCCATGGAAATCCAACCCAAATATATGGGTTTTCCCCTCTTTTTCTTATCCATTCACAACCAAAACTAAATATACATTCAATTTTTTTTCTTTTTTTTATTTATTTATTTTTTCAGGTTCACAACCAATTTTTTTTTTTTTTTTTTAAGATCCACAACCAAAGCTAAATATACCTCCAATCTTTTTTCATTTTTATTTTTAAGGTTCACAACCATTTTTTTTTTAATTTTTAAAATTCACAACCAAAGCTAAATATACATTCAATCTTATTTTATTTTATTTGGCTCAACAATAAAATCAAATACACATTAATTAACATTGTCACATTATTCTTGTCAAATTTTATGCATATCTAGAAATTTTTAAATTTATTTAAAAAAAATTAAGGACATTGTCTAGTGTAGGTTTCGGTTTGCTTTTCTATGTTATTTTATTTTGTTATGTATTGTAATTTTCAGAATGGTTTGCTTGATCGGAAATTTCAATTAACAAGTATGAATCTATTTGTTTTATGTTATCACACAATTTATACAACGTATATATATATATATATATATGTATATGTAGGTTTCAGTTTGCTTTTCTATGTTATTTTATTTTGTTATGTATTGTAATTTTCAGAATGGTTTGCTTGATCGGAAATTTCAATTAACAAGTATGAATCTATTTGTTTTATGTTATCACACAATTTATACAACGTATATATATATATATATATATGTATATGAATGTATTTGAAAATAAGGAAATTGTAGAGAATCAAAACAAGCATGAGTCATGATTGGTGAGAAATGATGGGTAAAAAGATTTATTTGCTAGAAAAACAAAAAAGGGGATATAAAGTCTTACTAAATAATTGTTTTTAAATTAAAAGAATTTTTCTTAGTTATGAACAGATTTAACTGAAATCAGCTTGTTTCCCAATGTTATGCTTCATTTATTTATATAGAAAATATTTTTTAATGAAAAATATTTTTTATAAAAAAAATTAAAAATATATTTTTTTATATTTGGTGGTGGTGGTGATAGAACGAAGGTGAAAGTAGAGATTGTTACATAGTGGTGGGGTGATGGCGGCAGTGATGATGGTAGTGGCTATGGTGATGGTAGTGTGACAGTGAAAGTGAGAATAGTGGTGATGGTGTTGTGAAATTAGTAAAAATTTAATTGAAAAAATATTTTTTGTTTTTTAAAAGTAACAAACAACAAAATTCGTGGGGGACTAAAGGAAGAAGATGGATGATGAATTGGGTGTGGTAATGCATAGATATCTTAAAATGAGTGGTTCAGATTTGTTAAAGATATAGTTAGATTTTGGATAAATTAAAATGAATGGTTCAAATTTGCTAAGAGAAAGATGGTTTAATGTCTAAAATGTCCGTGGCTAAGAGATCAACAAACAATTCCTTATTTATGCCCTGATGCAATTTAATATGAGTCTTATAACACTTTCTTCAAACATGTTCTTTCACATTTTATTTCTTCAAACAGACTCTTATAACATTGTAATCGGGTTCTTATAACATGTAGGGGAGAGAGTGAGAGGGAGAGTGAGAGTGAGAGAGAGAGATGGTTGTAATTTTTTTTCAATCTTCTACGTTCTTCCACATTTTTTTTTTCAATTACTAAAACTTATTTGATTGTCTCAAAATTATATATTTGATTATTATAAAACAAACTTTTTAATTAATTAATTAATGTGTATTTGATTTTGTTGTTGAACCAAATAAAATAAAATAAGATTGAATGTATATTTAGCTTTGGTTGTGAATCTTAAAAATTAAAAAAAAAAGGTTGTGAACCTTAAAAAAAAAAAATTAAAAACTTCCGACGCCGTTGACGAGAATTTGGTTGGTTACAGGTCAGTTCACCTGCACCATTTCACATTCTTTATGAATGAACTAGTTCTTGTAGGCTACTACAACTTTGATTACATCTGGCTTGAAGACTCTCAAACCTGTGTTAGAAACACTATTTGTGTAGAGAAGCGTCGTTTCACAGCACGTCCTCTCAGTACAATAGGCTGCGACACGTAGACAGTATGCCAAGTATATGCGTAAACTTCTTACACCGTGTTGAGTCGTTATGGCTTTCCAGCACCGCACATTTCCTAGGCACCGATCTCAAGTGAGAAATTCTAATGGGTAGGAATCGTGAGTAGATGAATCTACTCATATCGGTGAGCTACGCACCGAAGATTCTCGGAGTTTTAACAGTGCCCAGAACCAGGAACTAACTGATTGGTCAGTCCGTTTTTTTCTCCGCTCAATGGAGCAGTCATTTCGTGCTCCTGATGTGCCTCTGTGTGTTTATAGCACAAGTTTCTTATCATTTTTTACGAGAACGTTTGTCTTTGGTGATTTTGGGTGGTCGATTACATACCTCTAATTACAAGTTCTCGCTCTCTACAAGGAATAAGTTTTGCCTAAGTGAAATCCGGCTCTACAACTCCCAAACACCGCCAAGAACCCGCATTGCGGGTTCACACTGCTACGTCTTTATACTTTGGCCCACCACAAAGACTAGCAGCCTTACTGGCCTCAGCTGACGAGCTCATGTATGGGAGAAGACGGGCAGTTCCAATCGGGGTTCCGCTAGTTCGTGTGGATGTTGTGCGCGACACGTATTTTCGTGGCGTTCTTAAGAAAAACACGAGGCCAGAATACGATATGAATATTTTGGAGGGCGCAAAACCCCACCCCCATCAATAAATTCAAAAATTTCTATATGAACCTAGATTTGCCTTAGACCGAAACCCTCGGCTCTACTCCCAACTGGGAACCTGTTGGAGTCCCGTCTGTCTCTCACAAGTCTCTCGTGCCTAAGGCGGTCGTTGTGCTGGCTAAGTTTCGTGCGTAATAAACCAAAAGCCGTTTGGTGCTTGGAGGTGTCAACACCTCCATTCACACGTTTTCTGTAAGAAACTAGTTTTGCCTAGAGTGAAATCTGGCTCTAACTCCAAAACACAGGAACCCGATTAGAGTCCTGTCTTCATCCCCTAAGGCTTTAGCGTGAGAACGGCTAATGGGCCCTGGTTTAAGCCGCATAGTCTTTCTGTCTTGGGGCGGTTGTAGTACAAGTTTACACTCATTGCTAGTAACTTATACGAAGTATCTTTGATTGTTGGAGCCATCCGACCAAGACATTTCTGCTGTGGACTCTTAACGATCATCTCCAATTCAAATTTCTTAAGCAAACTAGTTTACTAGACCGAAATCCGGCTCTAACTCCCAAACTGGGAAAACCCATCGAGCTCTGTCTTCTCCTAACAAGTCTTTCATGCCTAGGCGGTGTGTGTGCCAAGTTTCTTGCTAAACCAACGCGTTTGGTGATTTTGGGGTGTCAACACCTCCAATTCAAATTTTTTAAGAACTAGTTTGCTTAGACCGAATCACTCTAACTCCCAAACTGGGAACCCGATTGGACTCCCGTCTTCTCCCATAAGTCTCTCGTGCCTAGGCAGTCTTGTGTGCCAAGTTCGTGCTGAACCGAAGTCGTTTGGTGATTTTGGAGCGTCAACACCTCCAATTCAATTTCTTAAGGAACTAGTTTGCCTAACACGAAATTCGGCTCTAACTCCAAACCGGGAACCCGATTGGAGACCCGTCTTCTCCCATAAGTCTCTCGTGCCTAGGCAGTCGTGTGTGCCAAGTTTCGTGCTAAACCTACACTGTTTGGAGATTTTGGGCGTCAACACCTCCAATTTAAATTTCTTAATGAACTAGTTTGCCTAGATCAAAGTTGGGCACTAACTCCTTGACCAGAACCCGATGGGTCTCGTCTTCTCCTACAAGTCTCTCGTGCCTAGGCGTCGTCTGTGTGCCAAGTTTCATGCTAAACCGACGCCGTTTGGTAATTTTGAGGCGTCAACACCTGGAATATAATTGAACTTTAATATAATTGAACTTTTTTAAGCAACATGTAATAAATCCCATCACAGAGACCTTTAATATAATTGAACTTTTATAAGCCATAAACCAAAATGGAAAAAAAGAATAAGTTTAGTACAAGTGGGAAGCCCCACGTTGCAGCCATTAAATCCTTGCATCAAATCAACTATTATGGTTCTTATTTCTACCAAAGCATAACTTCAAACTAACACAAGAAAAATCACACCTGCAAAAATGTTAGGTGTCTTCACATTTTTCTAGCAACAAAGACATAAATGTGATTTACTTTCCAACAACAGGAAAACTGTGACAATATTAGTGTCATTTTTGAAGAACATTTTGGGAGAATGAAGCACTACCTTTTCATTGTAAATGCAGAGTCGTTCCTTTTACTACAGCTTCAGTATCATTAGACCGAGTGATGAGCTTCGAAACACATTGTGGGGAGAACGAAGTGGAGCCATGTTTAATTCCAGGACTCCCATTCTCACATTTGACATTAATGGAGGCTACATTGAAATTTTTCCTGCACTCACTGCAAATCCTTCGCCCCAGGCATTTCTCAATCAGTACACTTTCTGGAGCTTTAGATTAACCACCAAGTCAATATCTATCACCTCATCCAAGATTTCCTGAAAAGATAGATGAAACAGGGATATACCTAAGAATCAGAAAAGAAAATATCGAGAGAGAGAGAAAAAAAAAATAATGTGTGATTGGTCCACTAACCCTAACATAGTTGCAGTGCACTTTATCAATCTCAAACAATGTTCAAAAAGTAATTACAAAAAAGCTTTATCTTTGCAGTGCTGCCATTGGAAAGGAAAGAAAGAGGACCTTCTTAGGGTACAGAGTTAGAAGCTGATGCAACAGAAAAAATAAACTTTTCTATTATGGTTTCTTAGCAACCAAAAATTTCCTCTTTGGTACATCCCCCAAATTACGAAAAGCTCAGCGTTTAGGGATGGCAATGGATAACCTACTCTGTTTGTAGGTATCCATGGAAATCAACCCAAATATATGGGTTTTCCCCTCTTTTTCTTATCCATTCACAACCAAAACTAAATATACATACAATTTTTTTTTTTTTTTTTATTTATTTTTTCAGGTTCACAACCAATTTTTTTTTTTTTAAGATCCCACAACCAAAACTAAATATACCT